TATTTCTGTGTTTCTTTTTTGGTTTTTTTGTTGTGTTTTTTATATATTTTATTTTTTTTGTAATACTCCTTTTAAATGTCCGATGAAATTAGATGCAATATTGTAGATATGTGCTGAAAATTCCACACTGTACCACAAGTACTGTTTCTGGAATAAGGTGAAACTGTTATGTTATTCTCTCTTTCTCAACCTAAATATATTACTTTTTAGTACTTTCACCCTATTCCACACCATATTTTGTGATTTCCGAACCCGGGGGGTGCGTCCTGCTGAAGAGTGGGACGAAACAGCTGTCTGGCAGTACTCCCAGGTGGTTTTCCAATGGCTCTCTACCTGATATCAGCACATGATGAAATCCTCCAACCAAGCAAAAAACTAAAATCCCTACAAAACCAATACTTGGAAATTAACCTGATGCTCACTAGCTACTGGCCTTATTCATGTAGGTAATTACCTGGGGTTGTAGTGGGAAGTTGTGACCAGTAAGTGGAGTACGCCAGGTTGAAGATGAGGCAGTTAATCATCGAAGTAGACATTAAGAAGTGGTCGAGCTAGGTCATGCGTGAACTAGAAGAAGTTAGAATTCATGAAGTGACAATTGGATTGGTGGATCCCAGTGGCTTAATGGTCTACGAGCTCGCTAACCTTGTAACCAGAAGGTCGTGGATTCGAACTTCAGCAAGGTGGGTGCGTACTGATGAAGAGTTCCAAACCGGTGGGAAAAAACAGCTGTCTGTCTGGCAGGTGGTTTTCCAATGGTTTTCTAACTGATGTCAGCTCATGATGAAATCCTCCAAACGATCAAACAAAAGTCCCTACAAAACCATATACTTGAAGACTACAAGTAAGTGAATGTAACTCACTAACCGAACATTGTTTATTTTAGATTATTTAACTTAGTAGGGTTAGTTTTCCTATCTCTAGTTCAATTGAGATAATCCAACTGATCCCAATCTTCTAGTTTCACCTATATCAATTCAGTCTCACTGTCAATATATGATATTCGGTAAATTATTTTCCCAAATTAAATCGATCGAGTTTAGAAACTGACAAAGTTAGTCCCTGAGTGAGTTGGTTAGTTGTTTTGTGGTGAGAGCAGGCTTCTAGCCAATTGGTAGACAGTAATTTACGTCAATGTCTATGTCGCTAATATTGGCTGTGAGAAAATATGAACAAGACCCATTCAACAAGCAATCACACCAGACTTAACGTGGGCAAATACGATTCGCAGATATATATGCCTTAGCTTTCTGAGAAACCAGTCACAAGCTGTACACAATAACCTTGAGCAAGAAACAACCAATCAGAAGACTGTGTTTGTCTGCTTGAATAAGCTATAATAATGTACATGAAAAATACATATAAATACGTGCTGATTTCCTTAATAAACGATCTGTTGCCTGTCCCTTGTCTGTCTGTTGTTACAGTTTTAAATACTAACCACATTCCAGCTTGATTAAAATCTCAAAAGGGACCCTCTGATGTTTCTTGTTTATTTGGAATTACTATCAAGCCTTTAAATTCCCTAGTATTCTCATCATTTACGTTACTGTGCTTCCTAATACATTTATGAACAAAGATGAGTGAAATTACCAACTGCTCTTCTCTTCCTTATACAATGAACGAAATATTCCCATATATTGAGTCATGAGGAAAAAGGCACAAACAGAGAGGAAGAAAATCTTCTCTTTTCGACGATTCATTTTCACGAGCTGCTGTACAATCGTAGTTATAATAATTAACACAGAAATCTTTTTTGGTCAATCAGACGGATACTGGTAAACGTTGTCCTTGAAAATTCTACTACATCATGTAAGATGCAATAAGAAAGGATGACTAATCAAAACGTGTGATTCAGCGAAGAGACTCTTTTCAACAGCGAATTTATCATCAAGCTGTACAGTCGTATATATGTGGTTTTTAAGAAGTTATACCCGGTGAGAGGGAATCGAATCTTAGGTATGAATGCATAAAATAATAATAATATGAAGTGCAATTAAAACTAAAATGTTTGTGATTACAATCGTAGTTAAATGTCAAGTGGCAAACCAAATTAATGTCATATATAGAATATGGAAAAGGGTGTGCAATTACAGGATTAGCAGGCAAATCGAATAAAACAAAGAACATTATGTAATATTGTGTGAACTTTAATAGTATAGGATTTATCGTTGTAAAAAAGAATTGATTTAGAATGACAAGTGGAACAAGTGAAATAATACCGGGGACAGTTCAAAGTGAGAATAGTAAAACTAACTAGAAATTGACGTAATAAAGGAAGAGAATACAAATTGAATAGACAAAATGAAAGAAGTCAAAAAAATGGTGGAGCTAAAATATGATTGAGGATTACCATATTTTAGCATAGAGCGATTAAGACCATGAAAGTTGGAGGGGTTGAACGAACTTTTTCTGTAAACAGAGATCTGGCTTTTCTGTTTCGATAGCCAAAGATGGCTTCAGCAATACAGATGAGTCGGGTACGGATTTGGGTAAGTTACTCTTTGCCTTGTAGATGAATTTAAAGGTGAGGCTATAGAGATAGGGTGAACATTATCGACCAGATGTTCAATGATTGCGCTTCTTATTGTAAAAGTTAGAAAAGAGACAGAAGTTGGCACGTCTTAACAAGTGTGAGATAATGACTAATCAATAAGCTAGTTAGTGTAGAATGGACAGGAACTAGTGGAAAGGCTATAAAGTAGTTTTGTATAAGATCTGTGTGAAAAAGCAGCGTTATTAATAAACAGTAATAGAGTGGTAATAAAATGTGGATGATGGGAATAGTAATAATAACAAAAGTCTTAAGAGCCATAATAATAATATTAGTGAACTTATTATTATTACAATTCCCATCATCCACATTTTATTATCACTCTATTACTGTTTATTAATAAGATTGCTTTTACACACAGATCTTATACAAAACTACTTTATAGCCTTTCGACTAGTTCCTGTCCATTCTACACTAACTAGCTTATTGATTAGTCATTATCTCACACTTGTTAAGACATGCCAACTTCTGTCTCCTTTCTAACTTCCAGTTTAGTCATCCCATCTAGGTTACACCTTACATTATGTAGTAGAATTTTCTGTGTTAATTATTAAATTACAATCGTACACCAGCTCTCATGAGAATGAATCGTCGCTGTTTGTGCCTTTTTCTGATGCTCTTATGCAGTTTGCTTTAAATAATATCCTGGAGATACAATCTACGCATTCTCTAAACCATAATGACCAAAGGCTACTCTTTAGGTTAGGTTTCGAGTGTTTTGCAAAGATTTGAATTAATTTCACTGCACATTTCGTTACAGATTGAAATCAATCAGCTAGGAAAATATCTTGGAAAACCAGGGAGTGTTGGACAACTGTTTTGTCCTAGATTGAGGCCCCCTCAGGACTGTGCATTCACGACGCCACCAGAGACAGAGACTGAACACAGAGCTTCCAACTTATGATACATCAAGCTCATTCAGTAGCATTCAGTCACTTAGGTCGATGAGTATTGCTGAAGAGTCTCAATCTAAGACGAAACAACTGTTTTTTTTAATGACCTCTAATTGATAACTATTCCAGATGAAATCTATATATTGAAATTAACCCGAATCCTTATAGAAGAGACCAACAGTCTGAATGAAAATCTCCAGCTCATCGATGATAGCTATTGGACGCATGTCTTAAAACTATCGTACTGAGAAGTAGTGGGTGATGAGGTCAACTAGGTGCCATGGTGTAACTCATTGAAGCCATTGGTTGGCGATAACTGTCTATCATGAATTGACAGATCAAGTGGGATTCACGACCTTGGTGTCGTGACGTGAAGATTCCGGGTTAGATCCCTGGTAGTGGGATCGTGGGTGTACCTTGGTGAAGACTCCCAATCCACGACAAAACAGCTATGCAGTACTTCTTCGGTCTGTCTTCGTTAACTGTTGAACCTTCTTCGATTCATGATAATATCTAAACTGAAGGACTGTTGAGTACAACGTAAATTTCTTTTTTCTAAAGGGTTATTAGTTACACAGATAAGAAACGACCTAAATCGACTCCATATGCCTATCATTGAGCCCCACTAGGACCCGATTCAATGACCAGCTAGCCAGCCCATGAATTCTAACTTCTACCAATTCGTGATTCATTTAGCGCGACTGGCACCAACTAATGTCATCGGCGGGAACTTCATTCCCACACACTTGACTCGTTGGACGCCTCACTGGTCACGACTTCTTACTAGAACTCCAGAAAACTTCATTCTGCAGACAGTCAGTTACTGACTACGGGACTCACTTTCCTGGAGTTCTTTCTAGTGAGAAGTCGTGAGCAGGCAAGTCCAACAAGTCAAATGCGTGAGGATGGATTTCCCAGCGATATCATTGGTTGGTACCCAGTCGCGCTAAATGCATCACGAATTGGTAGAAGTTAGAATTCACGGGCTGGCTGGCTGGCTGGATGGCTATTGAATCGGGTCCCAGTGGTTGAATGGCGCATACAAACCCGCATTTTTGTTGTTGAGATAGAAAGCGGAGGGGGAGGGGTGAATGGTGGAAAACGATCATTTCTGTACATTTCATCTTTTGTTTTTAAAACACTGAATTAAATAAGAAAGAATATTTATTTCTTCATAATTATAAAATAGATGTACAAAATAATAATAATAACAATAGTACTGATAATAATAATAATAGTCATATTATCGTCAATCTAATCATCAGTACATATTAAGAGTTCTTGGCATTTATCGTCATCATAATCGTTATGTTAAAGGAATGTAAAATAACACCGTAACTTATTCAACGTTTTCCCCTGTTGAATAGTGGGGTTATTACAAAAGACAAGACCAACGAGTGAGGGAGAGAAAGCGACAGAGAGAGAGAGAGGCAACGGGGGTACAATTATATAAACGAACACAATATGCATTATTATAAATACAGTGTGTATACACACCACAAACGCCAACCGGGACACATGCACATGCACACACGCCCACACGCACACTCACACTATCCAAATCGTTCTGTGACAATAGCCAAGGCATTTGTACTGATTGGATCAATTTCACGATATTCAATATGCTCATCATCTTCTCCAGCATTAGTAGTAGTAGTAGTAGTAGTTGTTGTTGTTGTTGTATGACTTATACTACTATTACTAAAAGTGTTAGTAGTATGAGGTAGTGATGAATCACACTGAGGTAGGATAGTATTAGCGCTAGGAAGCGGAGGCGGACACTTTGGTGTAGTAGATGACGTATTGATTAAATGTTGTAAACGACTTATTACACTGGATTGATGATGATGATGCGAAGGAGTTTCGATTGGATTTGTTGTAAAAGCTGCTGATGAACTGTTACTACTGACTGAACTCATCATTGTAGACGTCGTCGAGGTTATAGAGGGTTTTTTAATCAGACGTATTGTTTTTATTGCTGCAGATACTGTCTTCATCTGGTTTCCAGATGCTTCTCTGCTTTTTCCACCAACTTTCTGTCTTTCACCTGCATATTTTCCAATTTATGAGACATGAAATATATATCATACGTGAGGTCCAGATCTTCTAAGGTCTTTTTGTCATTTATCAGTATGTTCATCTTCGAAGAAGCCATATTTATTAAATATGGATATTGAGAAATACTGCATGAAGAGTAATAAACACTGATTGGTCAGATTTGATTATTAGCTTATTGGTCTACGAGCTCACGTAGTAACCAGAAGGTTGAAGAGTCCCAAAACTGTGGCGAAATGTCTGTTCAGTACTTTTTAGTTTTCCAATGGTGCTCTAATTGATGTCAGTTAGTTAAAAAATCTCTAACCAATCAAATCCCTGTAAATCAACACTAATCGGTCATTTGAAAAATTTAATTAACTTCAAAAGACAATTATAAAACCGTAGTATATAACAAAGGAATCATCGAAAATGGGTTAAGTATATGAATATATAGACTTTGTTAACTGATCCGTATTATTTTATTGGATCATAATTCCTGACAGAGTACTCGACCAAGTGTTGAGTTTAATAACAGTAGTATAAAACTTACTAGCATAATACATATTTCGTTTGATGTATTATTGTTATTATTGTCTCCTTCAGTTCCTAGAGGAGCATGGGGCTTCAGGTGCACGTCTCCACTGCGTTCGGTTTTATGCCAACGTTTTCACTTGGCTACACGCCTGCCCACATGCTTTCATCTCCTCTTCGCATGACCTCCTCCATGTCACCTCACCCTCGGACTGACGACCAACTCACCGCTTCTCATTCGCCTTCCGTTCGAGCAGTGACCTGGCGTGTAATGTCACTCACTTGATGGTTTGTTTTCTCAGAGTATGGCCAATCCACCTGCATTTCTCCCTGCATATTTCCTGCACAATCCTTCCCTCCTATCTTGGTTCCCTTCCAGAGATCTCTGTTGCTGATCTTTTTTAGCCGGCCGTGTGATCTTGAGTATTGAATGAAGACACTTGCTGATGAAGGTCTGTGGCTTTCCCGAAATGGCTTCCGTGACGCGGCGCCAAGTCTCTGATCCGTATAGTAAGTAGAATTGACTTCACACTGGAGTTGAAAATCGGGTTCTTATTCTCATTTTCATACTGAGAGTAATGAAACTTGGCCTTGCTTTCCTGATGCTCGCTGCTGTGATATCATGATCAGTTCCGCTTGTAGTTGAAACGATGCTTCTCAGGTAGGTAGTTAGGTAGGTAGGTAGGTGGGTAGGTGAAGCAGGTTGCTTCTTTCGGACTCCTCCCATTTATGCTGGGTGATTGTTGTCTGTTGTTGTTGTTGTTACTGTTGGTGGTGCTGGTCAGGAATGTTCATCATCTCCGTTCTTCCTATGTTCACCTGAAGTCTTATCTTTGGTGCTCCTTCTGCCAGCTTGTTGCTCTTCACTTGCATATCTTCCAGTTTGTGGAGAAACAAACATATACGCTCGGAGAAGTTCAGATCCTCCAACTTTCTTGTGTCGGTTCATTTAATGCCTGTCTTCTCGTTGCCCGTTGTCTGTTTGTCTGTCTATCGCATTATCCAGTCTGCTACAATCAGGAAAATCATTCGAGATATAAGAAAGTTGAAAACACTAAGCATGAAGACTCACTTAGTTTTTACTTCATGCTTGTATTAAGATCATTCAACAAAAGTGGAATTTAATTACATCCCTTGCCACTCGCAGCCAACGCATCTCCAGTCCAGCTGTGTTCTAGAAAAACAATTAAATCTTTTGAAAGAAATCTCCATCCATAATGAATACCCATCAAGATTCATTGTTAAAAAAATATAAAACCAAGAATTTGAAGAAATGAAACTTCACTTGCGCCTAAAAAGAAACTCTACATGAACTTGGATTTAAAGAGAGATTTAACAAGCGACATTCTCAAGAGAATCATTCCTGAGAAAAACATTATTTGCAGCGACTCTAAGAATGGTGTTCTCCAGTTTCCCGCTGATCTGCAGAAGCCTTAAGGACAAGACTCCGCATCTGACCGCTACAGTTTGCATATATCAGTTCCCCTATTGTTGTGGAGCCATGTACATAGGTCGTTCAACGTGCCTCCTGTTCAAGAGGATTCAAGAACACTATCCAGGGTGTCTGCAGAAAGAACGTAGTGGCCATATAAGGAGTGCAATCATCGAACATTTCGTCACCACTGGTCATTCTATATCAACAAAAACCCTTTTCAGAGTAATCTACGAACCCTGGAAAGGATAATATGTTTCTGTCTTCTTTGCATTGCAGAACCTCGAACCACTCAATTAGAAGAACCAGAACTATGCATTCAAAAGAAAATTATTTAGCCACTTCTACTATCATGGCAACAACTCTGTTGATCTGACTTTTGCTTGTTTTTTCTAACTATTTAAATCTCCTTTCGAAATTCCGTATGTTATTTTGTTCCCATGTACACTCTGAGCATAACTCTTTCATCAAACTATTCATGTTATCACGTAACTCCTGTTTAACAATCGTTTGTGGGAACTCATCACTTTTGTTTTGTGTTACATAAGCTCGTCGAAAACTTACTAATTGTACTTCCACTTAACAAATTTAATGTACACACCCACACACACACATACAAAACAAGCATATATATTTGCGATTGTACAGCTGTGAAAATGAATTCGCCGCCGAAAAGAGACTCTTCGCTGAACTACTAGTCTTCTATCTATTAGTGAAGAGAAATACTCACTGATTACATTGCCTGGTCGTCTCACCCAAGTGGCAGGATAGTCAACAAACTCATCTTTCAACCTGAAAGTCGTAGGTTTAATCCCCTTCGAGATCGTGGACGTGTACTGCCAGAGAATCCCAAAACAACTATCCCGTGTTCTCTGGTTTTCATTGGTTCTCTAATTGAAGTCAGTTCGAGATCAAATACTTACTTGGTTGCTGAGGTCAATGTAATATCATTACTTCAGTAAGAAATATCAAGGAGTACCAGTGGGTCAATCAACAGAAGCATCATGAGAAGTTCTAAAGAATGTTAACAATGTAGGCTTATCAGTAGTCAGTCTTTAATTAGTTTATTTGTTTGCAAAAGAAAATGATATTTACTACTGATTAACAATTGAGTAGTCGGGTTTGCATCAACAGAAGTTATCCAAGTGACACTAAAAGTTCAAGGGGGAATAAATTCTCTATTTGACAAAGTTCTTCGAGCATCTCCTTGCATAATACCGATCTGTCCAAATGCTTGCTAACGATTGAATTCTTCACTTTTTATATGAATTTCATAGCACAAGTTCATTTCATAAAACCATACAGTGATACAATAACTTTTACTGATGACAATTTATTGCAGTTCCTGATCAAATCAAAACATTCAAACTTCCTCTGTATAACTCCATTACTTCTTATCCCTTAATTGTATTGAGAGTAATATTTTCCATGCATGTGATCCAGGGTTCGACCCCCGCTCACCGACACACTCCTTCAACTCGTCAAGCCGGTCGGTTATAAGACTGGTAAATAGAGAAGGTTGGGCATGAGGTTAGTAACCCCAGCCGGTGACAGTAAACACCACTGCTGCCGAAACTTCAAAGGTCTAATTTGAAGCACCATGTTCAATTTGGGACGTGAAGGAATAGAGAAAGAAATTTTCCATATTTCTGACATCTGTGTTATGTCATTTCTATTGCGAGTGTAAGGAGTGGATTTGATGAACAAAGATTCAGTAAAATCAACGTCTTCTTCCACCCACCTTTATATTACTTTTTAGAGATGTAGATCTGTTCCAACCTACTGTGTTTAACAATGAACCCACAGGCCACATATTTCTTCATTCCTACTCCTATAATAACAATAATAACAATAACAATAACAATTTCGCTTTATTCCAGAAATAGTACTTGTAGTACAGTGTGGAATTTTCAGCACATTTCTACAATATTGCATCTAATTTCATCGTACATTTAAAAGGAGTATTATGAAATTATCCAACTGCTCTTAATTTGATGAACAAAATTTCAGTGATTGACCATTCATTGGCGGCCTGTTTGACATCTGGGCTACCTTTTCCTGCATCTACATATTGCATCTAATAAGTCATGTTTTCATTCCTAATTTTAATAAAATATGATCACAAATCGCATAAAACACAGTAATTCATTCATTAAACGTTTCAAACCATATGACTTTCATGCATCTAACAAATCTAAGAGAAAACATCACGCTGGCTGGCAGCGTGCACTTAAACAGACACCTTTATATCGTACAACTATTCCTGTTATTGTCACTTCAAACTGCCGTTCACTTCCCAACAAAATTATGCATCTCCAGTCTCTCTTATCATCTGATACTTATCACAATACGGCGATTGTTGCATTACAAGAAACATGGCTCCATGAACTCTATGATGACAATCTGGTTTCCCTAAATGGTTTTACATTGTTTAGACAAGATCGACTATGCTCCAGAAAGAAAAGAGGTGGAGGTGTTGCAACTTTCATTCATTCTCAATGGTCAACTTCAAATAATGTATGTTTTTCTTACTCTAATGACTTTATTGATTGTATAACAGTCAAATGCCGCCCGAAACACTTATCCAAGTTTAAATACGTCTTCATCTCAAACATTTATGTTACTCCTGGCTGTTCTGCCTCTGTTATATCTGATTTTGCTGATGAATTCACTGAATTCGCCGTTACACATCTTGAAAACTCTTTATCAGTTGTCACAGGAGATTTTAACTGCTGCGATTGTTCTTTCCTCGTATCATTAGGTCATGCCAATATTGTTAAATTCCCTACTCGACTTGATAAAACTCTGGGTCTAGTGTTTATTAATGATGAGGAAATATATGAAGTACGCAGACGTGCTCCTATCATGAACTCGGATCATTGTATTATTCGGATATTACCTAAGATATACAGCAGATCTCACTTTAATATCTTCTCAAATTTTTCCAAGAAAACACAGCAAAGGTGTTACTCACAGGAAAATGTGCTCAAACTAAGA